TTTTGGTGACAGGCTTGGCCCGATTTTAAACGGATTGGTGTTCGACTTCTAACCCAGGAACCGAGTAACTGAATAATAGCCCCGAATAACTGAATAAGAAATAAATATGGAAAATGATTTAGGTCTGCACTATTTTTATATAATTTTATGTGGTATTTAAATAAATAATTTTTTTATTTATTTGAGATCCATAATATTAAATATATCCACTCATTTAATATCATGTAAAAATTATATAAAAAATAATATAAAAAAATTATCCTTATATCACCCCCTATAAATATATTTTCATTCCCTAAAATTTTCATTCCTTCCTTCCCATATCTGCCACCTCCCTTCCCCATAGATAAAAAAAAGTTTCACCCCCACCAAATCCAGTCTTTAATCTTCCAATTTTTTTTTCTCATTCTTTAGTCCCTTTCCACTTTTTGTTCTATACTTCTATTTGTTCTCTCATTCTTGTTCTTCTTTTTTATCCCTTAATCTTACTCTCTATAGCTCTATAGCTTACTCGCTCTCTATATTTCTTTCTTTAATAACCTCCATCTTTCTACAAGTCTTATAACTGGAAAGATCAATCTCTTTCATCCCAAAAAGGTCAAAGATGTAACCATAGAATCTCGCTAGATCAATAACATCTCATCTTTGCTGGCAAGTAGCTTGAAGATGATCAGACCTTAGCTGAATATGGTATGCAAAAAGGATGAAATTTTGTCTTTTGATTTCTGTAGTCTTGCTTATAATTTTTTTTTCTTAAATAGAAAAGTCTTGCTTAGATTTTAAAATGGGGTTTCTTTGGTTTTACGTAGTGTCTACACTATCCGGTGTTGACAGCCTTGAGGCTAAGGCGATGGGCCCTCTTTGATGGGCCATGGGTTGTAGGAATCGGGACAAGATTGAACCACTTTTGATTCTTTTTTGGACCTTGTGAAATGTGATGGCTTTAGATATTTGGATCACAAAATTGAAGGAAATGGATCATAAAACATTGTTGGACATTTAGGCCACAAAACAGAAGGCCCAAACCCAAAAAAGTCATTAAGGACTGGAATTGGTTAAAACTGAGACCAATATCAACCAAAACGATTATTTCGATGATAAAACCAAATAACCGAAATATTATTTAGTCTGATCTTTAGTTGCTATTTCACAAATCAATCAACTAATAAATCTATCAATTTGGGTTCGGTTCCAACCGAGTTGAACTGATGCCCACCCCTACCTGCATGAATGATTCTAGTGGGAACACTAGAGAAGGTAAATAGAGGAACAGTAGGACTAAGTAGAACTAATATGGAATTATATGCGCGGATTCGGCTTAGAAAATCTGTTGGGCATTTCAACAATCAATTAATGGGCACCAAAATAAGATAATAGGTTCAGCTGCTGAATCATCCGATCAAATATTGATAATTAGCAAAATCCAATCAAGTAAACGCAAAATTAAAGGATCAACAGAAAAAGAATGAGAAGAGACTAGAGATAAGCCCGTAAGGATAAAGTAAAATCAGAGTCGTATCTATAGGAATAGTTGATGGGAACCAAAGAAAAAAAGAAAAATTAGAGCTGCCGTGAAGTGATCAACAAAATAATACATACGGGGGTCACTTTTTTAGAGGTGTTTTGTTCATAGTCATATAGTAAAACAGAGTGAAATCGATTTATGATCTTGCAGGGAGAACGATTTTTTGAAAGTAATCGCTCAGTGCTAGTGACCTCTACGAATGATCTATAGTCGGAACACTGGAATTGACAAATTAACCTCTAAATATTCGTGTGGGCCCGATAACATATGAAGTTAGACTCTTTCCAAGTTTCCCAGGAAGCCTCGGAAAAAGTTTTTTTCCAATGCATTTACGGTCATGAATTGACTGCCCTCTTCTAGGATGTGGCTGTGAACCATATCGATTCTTGATATCTGAAAGCAATCGCTCGGTGCTAGTGACCTCTACGAATGGTCTATAGTCGGAACACTGGAATTGACAAATTAACCTTTAAATATTCGTGTGGTCCCAACAACATATGAAGTTAGACTCTTTCTAAGTTTCGTGAGGAAGCCTCGGAA